ATACATAGCAGATGCCTGCTGCTGCTGAAGACCAGAACTGTCTTAACTAATTTGTCTCAGCACCTTTTTTTCCTCCTCAACTTTCTGTGAAGGAAGAGGACTGGAGGAAAGACACATGTCAAGAAGGCCAAGCAAGGGAAGATGAACACAACCAGTGCCCATTATAGGGAGAAGACACCTCTGGAGTGGAAGAGCCAGCACTTCTCAGAGGTGTCTGAGGTGACTAGAAGAATTATTATTAGTGAAAAAACTAATCATAAAGTAACAGCTTTAAAAATACCACACCAGATGGTGTGTCTTTGTCTGACAGCCTGAAACACCTCAGATCTTCCACTTGGTTGAGTGCTCCAGGAAGACACACTCCTGTGACATGAACCTGACAGAAGCTCCATCCCTCCCAAATAAAAAACACCTTATGACACAGTAGGAAGAATCTAGTGACACCCTGTTTATCAAAATCACTGTCATGTTGTTGTACATTGACTGCTGGATGATGGCGACAATGTGTGGGAGGAATATTTGGTACACACACACCCAACAACTCAGCATTGCTACCCACAGCTGTATAGATGGGACTTCTTTGGGGACCCAACAGTCTGAGCCCCGAGACTGTCCAAGTACACAGAACAGACCCAGAGGAACAGAGTCCATGACTGTGACTGAAGATGGCAGTAAAGGCTAGATGCCACCAAAGGGACCAGAATTGACTGAAAAAACATGCCCCATATATATTAGGAGTCTTTTGGGAACATAAGCAGGCTGAAGCCTTGTATGCAGGCTGCTCAGAGGGAACCTGACATGAGGTGGCAAGCTAATCTGGCACTAAGAAACACCACCAGCTTATAACTCCCTGTCCCTGAGATGAGACGGAACCGATTCTTAGTCCCTATATTTTGTTGTCAGAAGACCTGCTGCTTTCTGCCAGTGCAGGTTCTCTCTGGAAAGGAAATAAAAGCTGGGTTTGGAAAACAGCAGTTTAGATAGGATGGGACTTGTACAGCATTCTCCAGGGAGAAAGGAGCTCTTCTTTCTAGAGCAGAGAAGGAAGAAAGGAATATAGGCTGAGTCTCTTAGAGCAAGTTGTGTATGGACAGCTAGATGGATGAGAATAGGTGTTTTATATCCCTGGTTATTGTGCCTCCTTCCGTGATCCTAAGGGAATTCACAGCCAAGAAACAGACAGGAAATGAAGCCAAAGATCCAGACAGCAGAACCTAATCCATATGTATTGGTATCTACAAAGCTGAAAGTTATCCTATAAAGTTATCAGCTCTAGAAACACCTGATAACTTTATAGGAGGAAGAAGGGGCCTGGGATAGTGGCTTTATGGCTTCGATGGCCAAATACTGAAGATAGTGCAGTGTCCCTGTTTGAGAAATACAAGCTGTGAGACTACACCACAGCCAAAGTATGACAGAACTTAGATCACCACCCACACTGGCCCCTGGGGACTCAGAAGGCAGAAAAGCCACGTTGTAAGTAAACATTCAGCTTGGCCAGAGAAAGAGAGTAACCATAGGTGGAAACTGCAGCTCAGAAATGCATCCCCACTAGACCTGGCATTAGAAATCCCATGGCTGTACCCTGGGCTGCTCCTGCTCGGTGTGGTTCTTTTCCACTGCCATTACAGAGTGGCTCCTAGGGTTTGGTCAAAGGTGGCAAATGCTCCTTGGTATTTTCTGTGGGAAGAAAAGTCTTGGAGCTTTGAATGGGAAAGGTTGAGTACAGCTTCAAACCAGGGAATTAACTATGGATTGGCATTTCAAGCAGCTGCAAACTGAGAAAGTCATACACCCTTTTTTTTGATGGCAGCAGATGGAAGCCTGCATATCTGGACATGAGGTTGAGGACAGCAGAGATCCCTGCTGTCTCGGTGCTACTTTCTGGCCTTATGGCCAAAGCCCTACCAGATTAAAAACTTACAGGGGTTGGTTGTATTTCTCACTCAAACACAACAAGAATGGGCATGTCAGTCTGGAAAGGGAATTAACACCTACCACGTGGTGCAACTTGCAATGCCAGAAGGCTTATCTGATGAAGCCATAACAGCAAAAAGAGAAGAATGAGAGAGATACAATTAAATTAGTATAATGAAGATTAGTGCTAACCAAGAACAGCTGTGATGCAGTGAAGATTGCAGCGAAGGAAGTTCCGATATAAACCAGCATCCACGTGGAACAGAGGCGCTTGACAGTATGTGTTGCTCATTTATACCACATGAAGTGAGTACTAGCAACACACCTGATAGGTCTAAAAGTCTCTGGTTCAACTCTTAGCTGGTAGTCCCCAGTGGCAAATACACATAAGGATGTGACTCAAAGGATAAATCCATTTTCCAGTGGCAACTGGATCACTGCTATTGCTACCTCAGTATTGCATGTAATAATTGTATTTAGTCAACATTTTTCATTTGTAGCCCTACCAAAAAAAAAAAAAAGTCATGTTTCATTAAGCATTTGCAATTAACGATGAATTATGTAACTATTACCTTCTACATCAGGGTCTCCGAATGGATTTAATTCTCCTGTGTCAGGATCACCAAAAGGGTTCGTACTAGAGTTGGCCAGGTCTTGCTCCTCTTCATCCAGAAAATTAAGCTTATTGATAAGCTCTAGAAAGAAGTTGGAATGTTGTTTTAATATAGATACAAACTGTTCATCGAACACATTACAAGCTGAAAAAAACTCCGTATCAACAGTCCCTTGAAACACTGCACCAGGGTATGGCACGAACTGCACAACTAAGCTAATGCACTTCAGTAGTACACCAACAAAGGAGAAAAAAAAAAGTGAAATGAATGAAACTTCTCTTCGCTGATCAGAACATTACATAACAGAAATGACTACTAAGAAAACCTTCTATTATCTTCATTAAATAAATGCTGCAGAACACCTAACAAGCTAAGTACAGCAAATTCTTTTTGGTTGTTCACCTACATGTTTAGGAATTTTTAAGTTCTGGATTTAACATGCACGTAAAATCAGAGAGGGGATGTTTTGTCAAGTTAGAGAGGTCAAGTACTATTGACTGCACAACTAATGTTTTAGGCTTGGGTCTGGGACTTTTTTTGTAATTTTTTTTTTCTTTCTTGTTCATTATCAGATGACAACGGAGCTGTAGAGGACAGAGGCTCTTTCTCTATCGTGTTGTTACCTGTTGGATGCACTACAAATTACTGAGAGTCATGCTGGGTGGAAGCATAGAGATAAAACTGACAGCTGAATACAAGCAGGAGTCAAAAGGTAACAGGTCACAGTAAATACAGACAATCAGAAACAGAAAGAAAGGAGGAAAGCTCATAGACCTTCAGAGGAACTGGCTGATTTAGCTGAAGGCATATTTGCTCGCTTTATGCAGTCATCTTGATCTTCATCTAAGCTGCTCAGAGCATTCAACTGGTTTACAATTTCTGTAAATAGAAGCCAGTCAAGACAAACGTAAGGCAAGGGCATTTAATGAAGCAAGTGGAACGAACACTGTTACTAGAGAGTGTGAGGGAGAGAGAGGGTAAAAGAGAAGACACAGAGGTAATTAAAAGAATACATTTAGAACAAGTCCTTACAATGATATACCTACAGCAAAGCACCTGTGTAGGTGCTTCAGTGATAATTTAACAACAAACCCAGTTAGCAGACATAAACAAAACCTTGCCAGATTCCTGGTGTCAGCAACAGTAATTAGTTTTATGAGGATGAGTACGCACATCAGTTCAAAACTTAGATGTACTAGATATAATTGAAAGACTTTTCCTGCTCATGAAGAAAACCTGAATTTTAAACTATTGTCAATCAACACGAAACAGCCCCAGAACAATTTACCTCCCTCCCAAACACTTAAGGCTACAGAAAACTCATACATACACAAGCATTTTATATAGTTTATTTATTTATACACACACACACTCTGGTTATTTAACATTTACAATCAGTCGCCATTAAATTCTGACCTATGACAAGTTGAATTTATCTAATAGTTCTAAAAGATATGATCAATATTGTGCTATGAGAATGCATACTGAACGTACATATTGGTTGAATTTGCCACTGTAATGCTGTGCAAGTAACACCTTACTGTTAGGTAAAACCCTATTTCACCTTCTATCCATAGCAGAGAGCTCTGAATTGCCATGAACTAATAATTTTTAAAATATATTAATGTTTAATTCTAGCCAAGATGCTGATGCCTCCATAATTCTGGAAGGAAAGAAAGAAACAAAAACCAACTAGGTCTTACTGGCTTCTGCCCCAAGGGGAAAAATTCCCCTCTGATCCCCCGTTAAAGCAGTCCTATCCACAGCATCTGACAAATGCAGTTTCTGTGGTAATGGGGATTGAGCCTGAGGCGTCTCTGAAAGACCTCAAGCATAGGTTTCTGTGGAGAGGGGACAGCCTTCCTCGTCCTTCCAGCTGACAAACAGGCAGGAGAAACCTGTGCAGGAGAGATGATCCTGCTTGTTGAATATCATTGCCCCTCTGACAGGTTTTTTCATCTCCTGTCTTTTCCCAATGAAATAAATGGATGATGTCTTCTGGTGTCACCAGTGAAGTTAAAGCTACGTAGATGCCTCTACTGCACACTTCTCATGCCAATCATTCTTGGATTTCCTTTACACTTCAATTTCTTGTGTACACAAGAAGTTACTTCTTTGTAACGCTTTTTAGTTTGCTGCTGTTTTGAACTTGACTTTTTCTCACATGGCTTTTGTTTGGGAAAGCAAATGTTTGTCACTGACTTACAACTCAACACTGAGTTACAAGGAGAAAGATATCAGACTGAGGTGAAAATTGAGTAGTATTGTGACCATCCCAAGTCATGTTGGTGCCCACAGCCACCCAGAACTTCCTAGCAGGGGCGACTCATGCTTTTTCACAGGGCAACACCTTCACCAGTTGACACACTGACACAACTCTTAATTTCATACCTTCACAGAGAGCACAAAGAACCTGAAGCCAAAAGCAGAGTCCAGAACCTGACAGGATTTCAGTCATATGGTTAAAAACTTCTTTTCCAAATTTAAACTGCTTTGCGAAGATATGCCAACCTGCAAATTACCAAGTGAAATGATCTATTCTGCCAATATCTATTGGACAAAATCTATGCTGACAATGACAAAGCCACAGCAGAATTCCTCTTATCCGCACCTCCTAACTGTTCTTGACCTTAAAGCAAAAATCTACTTAGATGGGATTACATTTATATCTATCTACAAAGAGTTAATTTCACCATCCTCACTCGCTTATTTTTAGCTCCAACAAACAAGACTATTGTCCTAAAAAGTAACACCAAAACTGTCCCAAAACTCTTAACTTTCTCAGTACAAAGTCATATATACACCTTAGAGATCTGAACAATATAATACTATGTGCTGGGAATTTTTAAGACTCAAGACATACTATGGAAAATACCTTGCTGTACTCAAAACAGAGCTGACCTTATAAAACACTAGTACCAATGAATTACTAGTTTAAAACAGGCTGAGATGCTGACATGATTTACAATTTATTATGCCAGCATGTGAAAAAAACCCAAAACAATTACAATTCAGTTTTCATTGTCAGAAAATAACGAATTTATTTATTAAAGTTCAGAGCTTTAAAAAGAGGGAATTCTTTGATGTGGTCTGAATCACCTGGTCCCATCTGCCAACCTAAACACCCGTATGCACTACAATGTTTCTCATTACAATATTAAATGGTTTATGTCATATTTTGGAGTGTGGAAATGGTAGGTTGGAGATTTATGTCCTATATTATCTTTTATAAATCTCATTATCTACGAACTTATATTAGCTTGTTCTACAAGTATGTCATATAAATCACTGGGGGTTTTTTAAATTCTTTTATCTTGCTCTTTTTTTTTTTTTTTTTTAAGCAGCTTGATGCTACTAACAAAGAAGATTAAAGGTATCAGAAGTTTACATGGGAGGTATGGTTTTGCAAATGGCAAGAAAGGGTTACACATATTGCTCTCCAGAAGCCTGCTCTTGAAATATACTGGGATTCAGACTCCTGCAATAGGTAGCGCATGGGCACGTTGCTGAGCCCATGTGGCACCCCAGGACAGTCACCGTGCTCCTGTGCAGATGGAGCAGGAGGCAACTATCAACTTCAGCATGAGGCGCTAAGTATCAATTAAAACATTAAGAGAAGCAATGCATTTATTACCACCCTAAGTTTGTGAGTTATGAGCCACATTTCTTCAAGTATGTTAGGATGCCTTGTCTTCAACTGAAGACTAAGGACAAGATAATTCTGAGAGGTTTAAATTCATCTATATTAATAGTGTAGAAGCAAAATATTTGAAACGTATTTCACAGCTACAAACTTCATTTTCAAGTTCACATAAAACAGAACAGTTAGGTGGAGATACAGCTTTTACACATGAAGAATTTAAACAATAAATATTGGGAAGGAAGCAGAAAAGTCTGAGACGTAGGGAGATTTTTTTTTTAAATGAAAGCGATGCTTTGAATGGAAAACATCTTTCAGTCTGATCTTAAGGTCAGTTGTATGGCAACAGCTCACATGTTGACCACACCAATTTCCACAGTGCTTTTGAGGTAGGTCAGTATTGCACCACTTACTTCACAGCTGAAGAAACAGAGGCACAGATACTTACCCAAAGTTAGGCAACACATCAAAGAAGAGAAACAGCATTTCCTAACTCACCGGCACCATCTAGAGCCCCATTCAGCAGGTCTCTTTTGCTCTCCTAGTGGTGGATATGTTTATTTATCTACAAAACTGTAACTCTGGGCCCAATAAAAAAAATTAATTAACTTTTGTATGTTGCAAAAAGGAACAGTGTCTGTGATAAAGGTAGCAGCTCCTATAGCTGTGGCTTGAGAATGACAACGTTTCAGTCACCAAGTCATCCAACGTTTCTGTGAGAAGACCTTGAGCCAAAAGTAAGATAATAATCCCTTCTGCTTTACTACCTGCACTTCACTTTTTCAAGGCTCGCTTACAAACATTAACCATGTAATACTCCCATTGTTCCTGTGAAGTAGTTATAGCCAGTATCCCCATTTTACAGTTGGGAAAACAGGCGCACGGAGGCAAAGTGATCTGCCGCAGGGGACTCTGAGTCAGTGAAGGCATTCCAGCTCGCTCAGCTGCCAACACCCTAACACGGCAACATGAGAAAATGTTGGGAGCAGCAAGCTTTCAAAAGGGTTATGTAACTTCCTCAATTAACTTCATGGGATTCTGTGAACACAATTATTTTTGAAAGAAATTTTACAAAGAGTACTTCATTACAGCAGTTTTGTTCCATTTCCTTCTTTCTATATGTCTTATTTTTCTACAATTATTCCTACCTCTTTCTCCCTTGGTTCCTCAGCTCTTCTCCTTGTGTTTTATTAGTTTTTCCCATTCATTATATTTATTACAGGAGTCACTCCAACTGCCAATGAAATCAGTCTTGAACACATGTTGAAATAGATGCTTTACACTTTATTTATTCATGTTTACTTACTGCCCTATGTTTTATGTTCTCCCATTTGCTTGGAAAACTATGTGCACTCATTCTCCTTTAACATCCCTCTCACCCCCCTCGTTGTCTAACGTGGAAAAAGTTAGCCAGGCTAACGAAGCAACTCAGCTGCTGTAGCCAACACAAGAAGAAAAACTCCAAGGCTGACCTTTCCCCCCTCAGGTTCCCTTAATGATGCATCTACCAAAAACCCAACCCTCCCATTTTGTATCATTAGAAAACAGTATCAGAACAGGCTGAACCATGAGCAGATATAGTGTAGAAGTATTTATTGCTTCTGCCTTTCAAGTAGGTATAGTAATGTTTGCTTAGAACAGATAATTTTGGCCTTTACAACAACAGATGGAAAAGCTGAAATGCCTTTAAAAGAACTCGAGCTAGGACCTTGTGTTGCACATCAGACAGCTCACCCTTCCCCATCTATCTCCAGGGATGTTCACTACATAGCCAAAGGATAGTGGACAGACTAGACTAATCTACATCAGCGTTTTGCTTGTTCAGGAATTGTTTGTTGGCTTGTTTAGATGCTGAATGCTGCAAAATCCATGAAGTTGAGGAGCAAGATCTGCTGCTTTTCAACTATTGTCCTGCACATGGGTTTTCCGTAGCAGTCCTCAGTGCAGTATCTAGGCATGTCTTAATAAAACACATCTGCACAATAGTTTATATAGACTTTATATAGCCTCTCCTTTATGTGCCCTTGTCTTCTCTGTGATTATTGGATGGGCTGGTGAATATGTCAGGTTTTCTTTGGTGTTCTGACACGCACCTGAATTATTCTGGTTACACTGGTAAAGGAGAGGAAGACCTTGCCGAATTATCTCAGTGTGACCAGACTAGTATTTCTCCACTCCCCGACCAAGAATACATTATCTCAAATGTCTCTCAAATATTTCATTCTGGACTTTCCAATCTGGTCTGTGCTAGACACATACAGCGTAAGTAGAGATTTGGTCAGGGTACAAAATGTTTAGCTGAGTATGTAAAGCATGAAAACATATTTGCATCCTTTCACAACACTAAATATGACTAAGTAATAACTGCTTCAGGCTGAACCTTCTGATTGCAGCAAAAACTCAAAAAGATGTAACTAGTATTTCGTAACACCAAACCAACGTTCCTTAGGATTTTCAAGAACAGATTTGACAATTCACTTCTCTGCTTGGGATGCTCTTCCTCACCTTAGAGAAGGATCCCATTATTTCAAGAGACATTTTTAAAGAGCACTGGCAGGCTTGAAGGCTGGCACCAGAAGTTCATTTGTCTTTTCCTGATTCATTACACTAAGAGTTCCTACAGAACTCATCTGGAGCAGTACTACATAATGATCTCCACCAACAATTTAACATCACATCCTGAGCTGACTTGCATTGATTAGTTCAGCTATCCTGTACACACTAAGCATTTTCATCAGTAAGCAATTCAAATGTAGTTATACTATCACTTCAAACAACCTTACTATCAAATTCTGTTAAACTCCTTTAACAGACTCCTGATTTCATTTCCACACGACACCCCCACCCAAAAGTCAGAAGTACGCTGCCTGGAATTACCATGTTATTGAGCAGAACCTCAGCACCTACCCACGGCACAGCTAATTTTGCAGTTATTCTCACAAACTGTCTTCATTATTTCACTTCAGCTCATCCTCTTGCCTTCTTGCTCACTGACCTTCTCCCTCCATCCTTTTACTCCTCTGTTCACACTGGTTCTTTGCTTCCCTAAAACGCTACCTACTTAGTGATTCTCTCCTAAAAACAGGACACGGACACACACACACACAAATCAATGCTCTTAAATTCACAAATATTTTGTTTTGGTTTGGATTGTTTAATATTAAATACAAATATAACATAAGGATAAAATCCACGGCACACAGCTGGCAATTAGCAAAGGGATCTACATTTTACCATCCATGTGGCAAAACCAACCTGTAATTTTTGCAGCCTTTTCCTCTTGATTCACTCTGTTTTCTTCATCTTCTTCATTGTCTTCCTCAAAATCATCTAGATTTCCAATATCAGCTTGTTTCATACTCATCAAACTAGCCAGGCTTTGCATGTCTTCATCCCTAAATAACAAATTTCAAACCAGGCATTAAAATGCAGTCTGTTAATACTACCTCTGATACTGCTGCATTATTAAAATTCCTTTAAATATTTTTATGCTTTCTTTTCTTCAGGAAGGTCTCTGATCTCAGATCTGATCTTGCATATAGTGAAAGAACAAAATGAATACACTTATGTATATTAATTTCTGAAGGGAAAGTTTTCTGTTAACAAAATTCTAAACAGTAAAAACAGTCCTGCCTTGCATTAAGAGTCAATTTAATGACTGCTTCTCAAAATTTTAAACCAGCCCAGAAATGCTAGTAAACACTTATCTGGTCTCCTTTGGTTGAAGTGAAAATGCTCGGTCAGACCTACTGTCCATATGCTGCATGTGACACCTATCACTACATCATTCAGAACTCCTGACACTGTTACAGAAATTAAAATCCCTTTTCTAAATATCTGAATTCATTGACAAGATAACATATAATTGACAAGATTACATATCAATGGCCAATTTCAATTCTTATTTGACTATCTCATATATATATGTTTCACATAACTGTACCTTTCATATCAAAGATATGTTTGATTAAAAGATGACAGCAGGCAAAGATTCAGAGAAATGGATGTTCTACATTTGTTTCATAAAAAACCCAAGATTTTTGAAGTACATGATGTCATTCTTGAAGCAACAGCAGTCTTATCTCTTCTCTTTTAAAACCATTTCAATAGGTTTATTGAGATGATTAATCAATTTTTTTTTAGCTCCTTACAGTAAGACAGACTGGGGATCGCCTGGCTAGGGAGCACCTCTGCTGAAAACAGTCTGAGGATCTTGGTGGAGAGCAAGCTCTAGGAGAGCCAGCACCGTGCCCTGGCAGCCAAAGGAGGCAAACAGCATCCTGAGACACATTAAAATGGGACCACAAGCAGTAGACTGAGGGAAGTCATGACCCCCATTTACTTGGCGTTCGTTGGACTGCATCTAGGGTACTTCCTCCAGTGTTGAGTCCCACAGTACAGGAAAAGGTGTTGATAAACTGGAGCAAGGTCAGCAGAGGGCCACTGAGATGGTTGGGGGCTGGAGCACTTGCCCTATGAAGAGAGGCTGAGGGAAATGGACTGGTTGAGCCTGGAGAAGAAATGGCTTTGGAAGGACCTAGCAGCAGCCTTGCCAGCACCTATGAGGATGTTGCTGAGAAGACAGTGGTGCAAGGCAGGAGAATGACAGACAGTGAACGTAGATTGAAACCAGAGCAGTTCTGATCTGATGTGAGAAAAAAGTTGGAACAGTCATCAACAAGCAGTGGGATGAGCTGCCCAGAGAGGTTGTGCACTCTCCATTCTTGGAGGTTTTCAAGCCCCAGTGGGATAAAGTCCAGAGCAAACTGGTCTGATCACACAGCTGACTGCTTTAAGCAGGAGGCTGGACTAGCTACCTCTACAGGTCCCTTCCAACCTGAATTATTCTATCTTCTTTGAAGTTGATCATGACAAAACCAGATGCACAGATTTTGTCCCTTAAAATGCCAAGAAAACTGTATAAATTATTTTAAAGGTATCACTTATAGGAATAAAAATTACATACTAATCATGCCTCAAATCTGCACAGAAACACAGAGGCGCTTAAAACATGGGATTAAACTCAGTGATTTAACATGTTGTTAAAATCAGAAGTTGTTTGGGGCAATCATTTGCTAATCTCTGCGTTCAAAGTAATCAGCACTACAGAACCCGCAGTTACAAAGGACAACTAAGTACTTCTGTAACATAAAAAGTATTAATCATAGAATCATAGAATAGTTTGAGTTGGAAGGGACCTCTAAAGGTCATCTAGTCCAACCCCCCTGCCATGGGCAGGGACATCTTCAACTAGATCAGGTTGCTCAGAGCCCCGTCCAACCTGACCTTGAATGTTTCCAGGGATGGGGCATTCACCACCTCTCTGGGCAACCTGTACCAGTGTTTCACCACCCTCAGCGTAAAAAATTTCTTCTTTGTATCTAGTCTAAATCTACCCCCCTTTAGTTTAAAGCCATTCCCCCTTGTCCTGTTGCAACAGGACCTGCTAAAAAGTTTGCTGCCATCTTTTTTATAAGCCCCCTTTAAGTACTGATAGGCTGCAATAAGGCTCCCCGAAGCCTTCTCTTCTCCAGGCTGAACAATCCCAACTCAATCAGCCTTTCTTCATAGGAGAGGTGTTCCATCCCCCTGATCATTTTTGTGACCCTCTCCAACATAATAATAAATACAAAATTAGTAACTATCAAGAAGTCAGAAAGACCTTTCCATTCATGCAGAATTCTCAAGGTTTCATCTTCCTGTTTTCATAACCAATAGGTTAAATCAACTCTTTAAGCACAGCGGAGAAAACGTAGCACCCTATAGCGGCATTGATGGGCAGGCTCTTTTATGCGCTGAAGACAAAAAACTGGGAGCACTTAGCACTCAGATCTCATACATCACTTGTTCATGTAGAGTTTAGAAATAAAAAGGTCTCCAAAGTACTACTTATTTTTACTGTCCTTTCTGTATTCAACAGGCTGCAGGATTTTCTTTATAAAGTGCATAAAATAAAATTAAAAGTGAATCTCACTGTACGGAACTACTACAGTTTGTAAGAGATATAAATAAACCTTGGCCTAGCTACCTTTCTTTGCATGTTCATGGATGTGACACCTGAATTCTCTCTTTTATTTAGACTAGTAGAGGACAGTCTCTATTTACACATACTGGAAACCAATGCTTTCACAAACAGCAGCTTATTTTTTTTCAGGTCTCTGGTTCAATGCAATGTTAAAGCCCTGTTGTTAACTTACAGTCTACCTGACTTACAGTCTTCAGTTTGAAACCTATCAACTTCAATGGGAAGAAGGTATATGCGATCCTAAATGGATCAGGTTTTACAAATTATGGCCTCAAAAAGCACTAAGAGCCTAGTATAGCTACTTACTGTACAGTTCGTGGATGCTGGTTGTTCCAAAAAAATTAAAAAGTTATCAGATACTGACTTTTTCATTCGCGTTTTCAGCTGCAATACCGTGTTAAAACACAGCTAAATACTTCAAAATATCATTCTTATATGGTAGGTCAAAATGTGGTTCACAACACGTTAATCACAGAAGGGAAAAAGTAATAGTAATTATCTGTGGCTTTCAAAGCATGCCGACAAAAAGCCTTTTTGTGTCAAAATGTATGCCTTAACATGGCCATCTGGAAAGCTGTCCATGCAACAGTTTTGGGGCACTTGTATTGCAGTGGCAATGTCTACAAGTGCATTCAGAATACTGAAAGCTAGAAGTAAACTGTTAGCCTTTTTGGGGGAAAAGAAATTTAAAAAGAGGTAAAAGACCCACTAGAGCACTAGTTTCCCCATCTACCCCTTTTTGTTCTGCCATTTGTATCAGAAATAGTGTGGCCAGCATGACTAGGGAAGTGATTGTCCCTCTCTGCACTCAGCACTGGTGAGGCCACACCTCAAATACTGTGTTCAGTTCTGGGCCCCTCACTACATTGAGGTGTTGGAGCGTGTCCAGAGAAGGGCAATGAGGCTGGTGAAGGGTCTGGAGAACAAGTCTTATGAGGAGCGGCTGAGGGAGCTGGGGTTGTTTAGCCTGGAGAAGAGGAGGCTCAGGGGAGACTTTATTGCTCTCTACAACTATCTGAAAGGAGGTTGTAGCGAGGTGGGTATCCATCTCTTCTCCCAAGTAACAAGCGATAGTACAAAAGGAAACGGCCTCAAGTTGCAATCCTAATAGATTGGATATTAGGAAAAATTTCTTCACCGAAAGGGTTGTCAAACATTGGAACAGGCTGCCCAGGGAAGTGGTTGAGTCACCATCCCTGGAGGTAGTTAAAAGACGTGTAGATGTGGCACTTAGGGACAAGGTTTAGTGGTGGACTTGGCAGTGTTAGGTTTACAGTTGAACTCGACGATCTCAAAGGTCTTTTCCAACCTAAATGATTCTGTAATTCTATGTATGATTCTCACATTCCCATATTCTAGAGACAGAAAGGAAAAGCAAAGCAGTATGGGTGACAAACGATCCATCCTCCAGCCACAAGAAGTTGTCAACATCTGACATCTTGAATCTGACAGAAATAGCAGGAGAGGTTATAGGATCTGCAAAAATAATCTGTATCCTCTGCCCTCCAAAGGCTGTTGAAATAAGGAACAGAACCAGGTGAGTGAGTAGGGACAGTGGTAATCAGTGCTCAACCAACCTCTTTTCACAGGATGTTCTTGTGTTCAACCCAAAATCTTACTTCTGACTCCACCCTCTCTCACCTTACAACTGTCTTTGTCCTTCTTTCATTCTTTGTGAAAGATAAATAGATGAAATAGAAATAAATTCTCCTTCCCACATTTCCCTTGCAGTCTGCTAAGGGTATTGTTGGATGAACATACACATACACATGCACACAAACGTACACTCCTGCTGCTTTCAAACCTGTAGATATTTTTAAGCTGCTGTTATTTAAAATGTCTGTAACGGTAGAGGACAAGACATTTGTCTCTGAAGAACACAAGACTAAAATCAGAGTAAGAAACGACTTTTACTCAGCTAAGAAATTAAGTATGGCAGGAATGATAGGTATGCTGAAGGATACTCTCAAGTTCTGCCACTCTATACAGAAAGAGCTCTTTATCCAAAGAATTCTGTGAAAAGCCAACACAAAGCAGGCTATCTGGTTAAAAAAAACAACCAAAACTTACGTGGCTTTTCCTTCCCTCAGGAAAATACAAGATAAAGAGAACTGTAGGGTGGCAGATACCACTTTCTTAGACAAAGGCTTGAATTTTAACTTGACATCTGTCTGTGTAGGCATGGGGCTTGCATATTGCTTCATGTTGATGCTGCTGGTGGCAAGCGCTTTTCTGCGTCCAGAAGGAGATTCCTGAAAGCAAAGGAAAAACAAAACTAACGTAAAAGGTGCTGTTACACTAAAACCTGCGTGTGCATAAAACAAAAAATACACTTATTAAATCTGCATCATTCTTTTTTCAAGTAGACAGGCAGCAGGGATTGCTATGGTCCTTTCTAAAGACAGAAACCCATTTCTTAAACTAGGTCAGCCACTAATGGTGGCCCTTTGAACACTTGCTTAGTGCAATGGAAAAAAATAGGTTATGCATTGTGATTAGTGGTCTTCCATAAGAGATCCTAGGTCTTTAAGGGCTTGAGCTTGTAGTAGCATGCACAGCACACATCCATTTAAGCAAGTGTGAATATCTCTCTATTCCTTCTGATAGCAATCTGGACCAGTTTTGTCCAAACTTGGATAGTCCTGGACTAGGACTTCCAACCTATGGAAGACATGGGATTCAATTATGCATATATTTCTTTACATTAACAGTATGAGGCCATCAAGTTAATATGTTGAACTGCTATCTATGTTCAATGCTCAAATACAATGCCTGAATATTTTTCAAAGCAATGGTACTTCTCACTAGTGTTATACTATTAAGAGTGACAGGTTTCTGAAATTAAGTTGATAATGCTTCCAAAAGTATTGTTAAAAATTTTGCAAGGGAAAAAAAAATGAAAAGCAAGAAGAGAGAAAGATAAAAGCCTAAGTTGTATTTCAAGATAAAGGTGTTGCTCACAGTTTAACAATTCAGACAAATTAATCTAAAATGCATCTAAGAATCTACTCTCCTATTCCATCTAATATCAGTATCAGCAGCAAAGGAACGATTATATGTAATAAAGCTCCAGTAGCAAAAATAAAACAAAAAAGCCCTGCTGTTAACTCTTTTGAAAAATATTCTCAGAATAAGACATTTTACTGCAGCTGACAATTTGTGTTGAATAAAGTATACTAATTCAATCAAAACATTCAAGCATCCTTTTTCAAAGTACTTGACATTTCCGCCCAGTAGAATAAGTCAGAATGTAATATGTCATCCCCTAAGAATACCTTGTTTAAAAAACTAGCCTTATCTGTCAGATTATGCACTGCAATATTATACAGAACTATTAGTGCATGTAGATACCTTATGAATGAATTTCAAAAATGCATCGAACACTTGAAAAGGATTTAGGCCCTCTCAGAAGAAATACTTAAGAATATGCAAATACTCTCAACTGAATCAAGTTGAACAGATGAGACTATCACAAACAATACAAGTGCTCTTTCTCCAGCCACGACTGTCAATCAAAGAGCGAGATTAAGGTCCAAGGTTCTGACAATGTGTAAAATGGAAAGTATGATCAGGGAGTTTCAATTATTACACAGATATGAACAACAATAATCTGTTATTGTACCGTACCTTTAGAATAACTAAACATTACAACTCATTGTAGTGAATGCAAGATTTACTGCGGCACCTGTTCAGAAAGCAACGGGAGAGACATGGCACTTCTTTGCGTGTTCTCCAGGCAAATGTAGGGAAGCAGCTTGCATCTTAACAGCAACTTGTTTCATAAAGCTAAATTTTCAATATTCACATTATGGTGTGAAAATGGTGGTCAAGGTGAATAGAAAGGAAGTTTGCTTAAACCTCTTCTAGTTAACTTTTTTTAAGTATCTTTAGAAAAAATTGGCATCTATAATGTGGTGTGCAAATATTTATGCAACTGGCATGGTAAAAATTACTTGCCAATTCTGGTGCATGTATGTGCTTTTCTGCCAAACAGAAAAGGAGCAACCAGGAATTACAAAGTAACTTGGAGCCACATGGAGAAGACAAGCGGCAACGGGTACAAGTTGCACCGGGAGAAGATTCATGTCAGTATAAGAAAGAAATTTTTTACAGCGAGAACAATCAATCACTGGAACAACCCCCCCAGGGATGTGGTAGTCCCCACTGCAGGAGGTTTTCAAGATGCGACTGGACAGGGTGCTAGGGCTCCCTTTCCCACAAAAGGTTGGACCAGATGAGCTTTCCAGGTCCCTTCCAGCCTGGGCTGTTTGATGGTTCTACAATCCTAACTTGAATATGCCCTCACCTGCAGTCAGGCCAAAGGAAAACATTCCACCCATAGGCTATAATGACTAGGAAATATTTGTCACACTTTGGACTTGACCCTTATTTGAATCGGTTGGGATAAGCTTATGCTTGCAGACAAAAACCAATTATGCCCTAGCTGGTTTTAAAATCTGTATTATGGTATCAGTGTTATTCTTACTGAAATGATAGTTAGCAATGTAACTCGAATATGTGGAAAGACTCTTCATTTGTTCACCATTTCCAAATTATGCAATTAGGTTTTCCTTTAAAAAAAAAAAAGTCAGGTTTTTTTTTTTTTAATTTCCTTTTTAAAGAAGATGCATGTCTCTTGTCATGTCCTCACTCCCCTTCATCAATGAAAACACCCAAAAAAAGATCAGGTGTATATACACCCAGTGAGAAACATGTAGGGAACAAATGACGAACATGGGTACTTGCTTTCAGCCTTCTGGATGAACTTCTGATTAGCCATACCATGCCTGTATTCTGATGTATTCTTCGCAGTTTGACTATGAAAATCACCTCCCAGCAGCTGTAAACATCCCCAATTTATCAAAGACCTAGATTATTTCCTTGTGTAGCTACTAACGCCTTCTCAGTGCTGGCTCACCTGTTACACCCCATGCTACGAAAGTAACACACAGACCTCCCACGAGGTCCCTGCGAGGTATCATAGGGAACACAAATACGCTTCAGTGACTCCAAGAAGCAGAAGGTGTATTTGGGGGCAGAGCCACTTTCTCTTGTTACAAACACACCATCTTATCTGATATCATAACTGAGATGCATGTTGTCTTTATCAAGGTGATTTTACTAAAAAAGTCAAAGCAAACAAGCAAAGCCAACCCAATGGTGAATCTGAAGTGAAGAGAAAGGACAGAGCATTAAACTTGCAAGCATCCAAAAGCTGGACGTGGACATCAAGGCAGGTGAATTTTGGAATGATGTGGAATTACATTTTCATTTAATATCTATTTATTGTATAAATTATCATCTTGCCATTTGTGGCTTCAGATTATCTGGATCGGAGAGTGAATAAGAGACCTGACTCAGGAAGAGGTGAAGTTCTCCCAGTGAAGATCATCATCAGCAATTCCTTGTGAAATCTGCTGGGGTTAGCTGGTGTAGAAGAGGAGGGAGACAAGAGTGCAGGCAGCTGTGTGCCTGTACAAAGGGGAGAAGCCAGCCATGTGCAAGAAGATTCTCTTAGCACTAAATATCCTGAGGTGCTGTGAAGAATAAGACATACTTGGCAATCAAGTTCAGTCTTCCTGAGAAACGAATTCATTTAATCACCTTTTTGTGGGCCAAAGACAGAAGTTGACTTTTCAGGTTCCAATTGCCCATAAAAATCCAACATTTGTAAATTTATCATGTTAAAAAAAAGGAAAAAAAAGAAAAAAACCCAAACAAAAATAGACAGTCTCTGCTCTTTCAAGTTTTATTTTCCTTAACATGCGAGTTTAAGTACATCCTCCTACTCTCCCAGAAAACTGTGTTAGAAGTGTTGCAATGTTTTCTCCTTTTAAGCTTTATAGGTTTGGCCTTACATGGTTTTAGCTATGCAAGTAGAGTGGGAGAAACTTCTTTTTTGCCCCTGAAAAGGATATTCTCAAGGTGCTTAGGTCCATGACTGATTTCACAATGGATTATGTTTTCTACTCTGACACACAACCAACTTTTAAAAAATTGTTTTTAAATGTGAGAACATGCTAATAACCACTTCTTACAAAGCTTGTAACATTTTCCTCAAAAAAAGCCTACATGCTTCGTGTAATACAATCTGAGTTATCCCAGAACCACAGAGAAATTTTTGTGCAGAAGAATAAATAATTTTTAATCAGCAGAGACAAAATAATCCAAGAGAAATACCTATGAGTAGGGTATACAGGAACAGCTTCAGCAGTAGGCTGGAATGAGTTATTTCAAACAGAAGCGCACTTTGGTAAGATACTAAATATGTAACATCTGTTTAATAGTAAAAGTCTGATCTGCTGTTACTTGTGTCTCATATGAACACATGGAGTTTTGTGGAAAGTAAAGCAGGAATCCCAAAGCAAATGTTTTAATTGCTCAACTTTTCTCATTTTAACTATATAATCAAAGTTTAAAATGTGTAAGGCTCAAATATCCCTCCAGGTGTTTTACATACATGTGACTGCCAGAGTTGCCACATCACGTTTTGTGAAAGGGTGCATGGAAAAGTCAATTTTGAAATCACAAGAGGGAAACGATCTGCGTGATAATAAAGAGACATGACGAAATACTCTACAACACTTAACTATCAAGATGGAGTTAATTCTGTAGAAAAACAGTAATTTGGAAACTCTTTACTTTTTAGGAAAGGCAATGCATTATGCAAACAAAATCAACTATGATATTTCGAATATCACAGAAAGACAAGACAATAACCTACAATACTGGTAAAATACAAATACCTCTAGGTTATCTTCCAGCTCAAACATACTACCATGTTTGAGAATGGGCACTGTTTGGTTCATAAGATAATATGTGGAATACTGGTTAACAATCTTTTTTTGTTGTTTCATGTTTGCTACTGTATAGTTCTAGCAAGAGAAGCAGCATACCGGAAAAAAAGGAATTCTTTTAGAAATCACCAATAAATTATTAAAAAAGAACTAGTTGGTATGTTAGCAGAAACTACTGAAGCCTATCTTCATGCATAACAGAATAATGGCCGTGCTGGGTCGACCAAAGGCTCTGAGAAACCTGTACATTATTTACAAAGTATATTGTTTACAAAGTGATCATTATAACTTAACTTAAAGAAGAGCCTCCCTGTAAAAGGCGGGTAGATGAGGCGCTTAGGGACATGGTTTAGTGGGCATGGTGTTGTTGGGTTGATGGTTGGACTCGATGATCTTGGAGGTCTCTTCCAACCTTTAATGATTCTATGATTCTATGATTCTATGATTCTAAGAGT